CCTCCCAAGGGAGTGGCAGCGAGGGCGCCGGCAAAGGCCCCTCGCCCCCCAGCACGCTCTGCGCGTCTCTCGTTGGTCGCTGACAACAAACTGCCCGTTTGCTTTAGGCACCGATGCGGAATCTGGAGGCTGCGGCCTCCGCGCCGACCGCAGCCTCCGACGCGGAGGCCGAGACGGGCGCGCCGCGGGACAGCAACTCGCTCTGTTCCACATGGGCAGAGGCAGCACCGCCTATCGCACGGTTAGGGGAAGACGCGCCGAGGCCGCTTCTCAGCTGCTGCCCTCCCCTCCTAGGCGGGGGAGTGTGAGAGGAACCCCGTCTTCATGTCTCGCTCGTGCGCGCGCTCATGCGCCGGCCGTACCGTCACCCCGGCGGCCATGGCGGAGGCACGCGAGGAGGCCAAGATGGGCAAGGAGAGAGACGCCGCGCCGGTGCGCTGGTCGCCGCCTTCCGCTCGCCTCACAGCCACTACTGCGGGAATAGGACAAGAACGTCTCCTGCCGACTCTGGGCTGCCTCGGGCGAATGCGAAAAGAACGCGGGCTACATGGCGCCCTCCCCCCGTCCCGTGCCACGTGTCATGAATCTGCCAGCTGTCCACCGATGCCGAATATGAATAGGCGATGATGTGTTCAACCAGCTGCGACCGCAGGGCAGCGCAACCGCACGATGAGAGCGAGGCGCACATCGACGACTCCATCCAGGACAAGAATCTGTCGTGCTCCCTCTGGGCCGCGGCGGGCGAGTGCACGCGGAATCCAAAGTGCGCTCCCGGCTCACCCCTCGACTCGACCGCGCCCCTGCGGGCTCACCCGCCGCCTTTTGGTGCAGGTACATGAAGGACCAGTGCGCGAGGTCGTGCGCGAAATACATGGCGGAGCTTCGCGCGATGCCCGATTCATGATAGACGGCCGCCCGAGGCTAGGACAGACTGACGCCCTCAGGCGCATACCGTTCTCGGTCTGTTCGGTGGCTGTGCAGAGAGGCGTTCTCTCTCACACCACTCCGCCTCCTCCAACTCTCAGGGTTATGC